GGAAAGTGAAGCAAAAATTAGATAGTTTATCATTTTTCTTTTCCATCCCCCCCTCCNTTTTCTTGATGGTTTTTAACTCGTTTCTGTCGTTACTGCGAGTTAAGTTTATATAAATCGTCGGCCTGCGTGTCAATCTGTAGCGAAGGGAAAAGAAATACTTGCGCGAGTGTCGTGACGTCACGGCTACGGATCAATAAACATGATCCGCTTTTACAACAATTTTGTCACCAGACATGTCCGATCGCATTTGCATAATGGAAGCTGTCACTTTGCTTCTTCTCCCTTTTTTTTCTCTCTCTCTCTCTCTTTCTCTCTTCTCTTCTCTCTCTTCAATTTTGATGGATGATAAATTTGATTTCTTTTGTTATTTTATTTATTTTTAAACAATGATTCTTCCGCCACCCCTTCTCTCTCTCTCTCCCCTCCCCCGCTCTTCCTAGCGAATTATAAAAATGGAAATGCTACATTTGTAATAACTGTTAGATTGCTAATAAAGGAAACATGAGTCACGAACAGGTGGGTGAGTTCTGTACACGTCACACTACGCTCGGCTGGCGATCTCTATCGATAGAAAAGATGCGATGACAACGTCGATCGTGATTCTGTTTAATGGCAAGAGTGATGATGACGAAAGATGCCGTTCTCACCTTTCTTTACGGCGCCCGTGTTCTATCGCACCTCCACCCCCCCAAGAAAACGCGCGCGCGGGCGCGGGCGCGAACTCTTCCCCCCACCCAGAAATTCGCCATTTTTCTCGAGACAATTAGAGATCGAAAACGATTTTCAGAAACGATTTACGACTCATTTAATTATTAAAGTGGCCGGGACGGTTGAGCTAACACGTTAGCGATTTTTTTTTTGTGTGTTCCGGCTCCCCCCAAACTCGTTTCCTACGCGTTTTGGGTCACTAAATATTGCGAAAGACATTCGATAGAAGATGAAATTCGCATCGTTTCACGTTCGGATTAGAATTTCGAGTACGAATTAACGTGTGGAGGGAGGGAAATGTTTCGTTTTCTGCTCTTAAATTGACGGAGTGAGGCGAAAAAAAAAGGCGGGAGGGAACGATTTCGCCGAAACAATCGAGCGCATTAACCAAGGTTAAACCGGCTAAACTGGCCAGAAATCTGAGGGGTGGCCCAGAAGTCGGTTAACCGCGTCTTACGTTAGCGAGAGCTCTTCACAGTGTAAGCCGACTTTCGGGCCAACCCGAAGACTTATTAATTAAACCATCGGCGCGCCGGTAGAGAAACCTACAGGGTGGCCGGAAAATCGGTTAACCGTAACTGCGCAGAACACCGAAGCTATACGATTAAGCGATAACAAAGCGCCAATTTATCCCTGGCGGGGGTAAACCGACTTTCGGGCCTCCCCCGCTTACGATAATGTAGAAAATCCGATCCGGACAATCGCTTTTATCTCTTTAAAAACGCTAAACAATCGCCAAACTTATAAATAAACCTTGTATTGATGAAAAAATGAAGAAGAAGAAGAAGAAGAAGAAGGAGAAAATAAAGACCTCTTTATAGCGCAGTCATCGACCGAAATGAAAATATTATTAATGTTACCCCGCATCTGCGTTTAAGTACAGTTGAACAACCTGTTTTCGGCGGTCAGCACGAACTTTTTAATAAGTAGTTTCTGCTCCTTCCCGGCGACTTGATACTAGTTTTGGCCAACAATAGTGAAATTCCTTCTTCTACTCTCTCTCTGGCATCCACCTCTCTCGCCCCGTTTAAAAGCGAAAATCGGCGTATAGTGCGCACCCCGGTAATTGTTATAACATCAACAACTGCTTTGTTTATTCAGTATTAAATTGCTGCCGAATTAAAGTCAACATAATAATATATTTGCGAGGAGTTTTGCTAATTCGCTAGCTGCAATAACACTGGTAGGGGCGGGGGAGGGGGACGAGACGGAAATTAATAAATTCGCTTTGTTAATTTCTCGTATTGTGACGTGGCTCTTCCAGGACGGAAGCGGCCTACACCGTAGACGGCCGCCATCTTGGATTAGGGCGCGAGAGTCCGACGCGGAGGGCCGCCATCTTGGTCCAGAGCGCGAGAGGTATAGTGGAGCGAATTAACCGCCAATAAGCGACCTAAATCTGGCTCGAGACGTTAAATTTAATGCGGCGTGATGGAGCGTTACTCTCTCTCTTCTCATCACTAGCTTGCGGGTCGCGTGTAGCAAGCGCGAGCGCGAGCGCGCGACGACGACGGTTTTAAGATAAAGGAGTTTCGCTCTTAACGATAAGGGAGGGGGGAGATTTAGTTACGTAAATAAAATTTAGAGCCTTAAACATAGATAATTAGCCTCGTAAATAAAATGTAATTATCTGGTTCGCTTGTATTTATAGCCTCTTTAAAAGGCTGGCGAGTCGTCTGGCGCGACCGTGACTACGCGACGCTTGGATGAGCGATGTGTTGCGATCGTGTTGTGTTAAGATAAGGAGTGCTTCGGCTTAAGATGTTAGAGTTTAAAGTTTATTTAGAACGCTAATTATCCGTTAACTATCCCTCCACCCCGCTTTAGTGGCAAGAAGTGAGAAATTCGAGATGAAAAAGAGCGGCTTTAACGAAGCGCGACGGCGAATAATATACACGTAGAGCGAATTTTTCATAGCCAACGCGCCATAAGAATGACGCCAACACCGCGTTACAGTGCCGATTCTTCACCTGATGTAACGTTGTATAAAAAGCAGTTGTGTATTAGAATGGCACCTCGATAAAGCGCCGATCCCATATCATTTATAACGTTAAAATAGATGAGAAAGACATCGCCTCGCTAAAGCGTTGTTTCTCTACCAGATTTAACCATTTCAACTCAAAGAACGTTAACACCTCGCTATAACGCATATTCTATATCCGGTATAGCTGAGTTGATGTAACAGACTAAACTCCAAATATAAGAGATTAACATCCCGATAAAGCGCAGATCCTGTAGTGAAAGAAACAGTATATAGATTTCATTAAAGCGCAGATTTTACACCCGTTATAACGTTACAGTGGGCTAAATTGCAACCGGAAAAGAAAAACAACAAGAATATCGTTAACACCCCGCTAAAGCGCAGATCCTATACCGGTTATAACGTTAGAATGGACGTGACAAAATACATTTCGATTGAAAATCAAACAGTTTATAAAGAAAGATACCCCGATAAAGCGCCGTTTCTGTACCGGATGTAAGGCAGGATTGGATGAAAACAGGGTACATTTCAACCCAGAAAAAAAAGGGAGGGGGGAGAATGATTTACATCCCGATTGTATCGATCACCTTTCATAGTATTATAACTATAAACATCACCACTTTCGCTTCTAACAACCGTAAAATTTTCCTGTATAGCGATCATAAATCGATCGGGTGACTCCAGACCATCGTAAAATTGATCGCGTAACGCAAACCATAATACTGTCATTTAGGAGAGGTATAATTATTAAAGCAGATCATTGCTGACAGCCGTACTGCAAACACCATTTTCGAATTTTCTAATTGCCAACATTATTCTATCGTTAGGGCATTTCCTCCGTACGAAAACACCACGAAATAGCGTTAAAAATTCGTTTAAAGGCGATTAAAAAATAACACTAAAAAGGGGGGTAAATATGCCACAAAACTGATTAAAAAAAAATTTCGAGTTGCATAACTTTCCCGGTAGATAAGTTAAAATTGCTTGTGGCGCCATCTCTTACTAGACTTTTAAAAAAAACGTTTTAACGAGGCAAAAAATAAAAAAAAAGCTTAATTTTGAGGTTAGAGAAGTAAATTATAAATGCTAATAAGGAGTAAAACAATCTTTATTAACTCCGATCCAATGGAGGTAAGACACGTGACCCGTGTGTATCTCCTCACCCCTGTAACCTTTAACCACCAAAATTGAACGGCAACTATGCCCATAATACGCAAACCTCCCTGCAAAGTTTCCGAAATTTTGGACAAAGGGCACGGAAGTTATTGGGTGAACATAATCGCGCCCCCTATAAATTAAGAAACAATACTAAATTTTCGAATTTGGGTGCTTTTCAAGTTTAATAAACGTTAAAAATCCTTAGAGGGGAGGCCATTTTTTAAAACCCATCTCCATATTTCCCCGTGTTATAAGATATACAACACTGGAAGAGTATTATAAAAAAGAATACAACAGGGAAGAAATGATAACTAAACGTTACGTCTCTCTCATAAAACTGATTTGAAACAATTGAGGAGGGGGGAGAAAAAAAAAGAGGATAAACTAAAGGATAAACCGGGCCTCACGCTCAAAACTGATTAAAAAAAGAAAAAAAAACGGGGGGAGGAAAGCAACCAAACGCCGCACCCTTGCACAAAACTAAATTTCACGCTAGTGTAAAGCGAAATTCACATCATAACTCATCTTCCTAACAGTTTTTCATTACGGGAAAGGAAGGTAAAAATCTGTTACGGCACCGAGAGACATAAATTTAAGGAATAAAAAGAAAAAAAAAAGGAACGGGGGGATAGGCAATAATTCTGTTTATCTGTATTGTAAAGGATGCAGGCTGCATCCGGAGATATATCCCTTCAACCACTGGAAAATTCACGACAGGCATTTTAAAATTTAAAGCCGTGTGTTCGAGTCGACCAGTTTATCCAGCTCGTAGCAAACCGTAACATTAACTGCGGGGGGATGCGGGGGGAAGGAAGATTTAGTAGACAATGAGTATGACTCATATATTGACAATGTTCTATTACTCTTTCACTATCGGTGGTTTAGTCTATAAAGACTATAGCCTTGATATATTTACGTCATAAAACCATTTCGTGTAAACAATACATTAAGGCAATCCAATCTTGCGTGCGTGTTCCGTTTATTTTGATTTTACTTCAACTTTTTTTTTCTTCCCCCTTCCCCCTCTCCTGTTTTGTTTCCCCTCCACCCCGCTAGATTTAATTGAAATCTTTTTATAAAAATTAAATATTGAATTAATTATTTATATGTTTATTTATTTGTCTGTTTTTTTTTCTCTCTCTCTCTCTTACAGCCCGTGGATAATTATGATTTATCCTTAAACATGACGGATCCCAATGCTGAGGCATACATGTCCGGAGATCAGGTAAGAGCATTATAATATATACAGTATGTGTGTACATGTGTGTGTGTGTGTACAGTATTTTAGGCATAAGTTAACTAGGGCATTAAACTTTAATTAAGGGGGATGGCACGCGCTGAATATAAGTTATATAAAAGGGCCTACTGGCGTGTGTGGGGCCTGGCTCGAGCTAAAAACGCCGCGTAGGTATAGGCTTAAAGTTATCTTGTGTGGGATGTTTTTTTTAACAGAAACAAGTTTATGTATCGTGTGGTATACGTGTTATACAGTATTGGGCGTAAGTTAACTAGGGCCTTACACTTTTAGGTGACTCGGGCGTGCTTGAGTATTAAGTGATTATACGGTAGATCTTGTATAATGCGGGCTTTATTATTATATAAAAGGGCATAACACCGCCACGTATAAGTTTAATTTAAGTTTCAAATTAAACATTGTTGTGTGGGATGTTTGTTCAATGCAAATAAGCTTATGTGTCCGTATTAAAGAGGTTTCGAAATAAAACTGTGGTAGTTTTAGACGTGAATAAAACCAAGGCCTTACATTTTTAAGGGCTCAAATATTCAGTGAAGTGGAGTGTTTATATCTTGTGCCACGTATAAAATACCTATTGACACGTTATACGAAAGGGCCTCGTGTGTCTAGGGCCTAGTGAAACTTAAAACATTTACATAATTTATCTATCGAGCTAGATAATATTGTGTGGGATGTTTAGTCAAATTTCAACGAGATTGTTGCATTGTTCAACGCCCAAACAAGTTTGTGTCCGTCTTAAACGGGTTTCTAGACGAAACTACACAACTATAACTTAAATAATTAGATAGGAGTTGAACAGTTTAACAATTCTTTAAAAACGTAACCTAAATAAAAGTGATGAAGACGGATCGCCGTCTAGACCCCGTTTTAAAAACGTCACGTAAGAAAGAACCAATGAACGAGATCGTAAGAAGGGACATTTCAACGTTTAAATTTCTGTACACAATAAAAATTCGCGTGTGATAGTCTGCAGGCGAAATACTCCCCCCTCTTGTACAGTCTTTTGTACATTTTATGAATCAATAAAATATGGATTTTGTACAAAAACACTAACACAATGATCTCGGCCGTTTTAACTCTCGTAACATAAACTACGACTTTGCATACGTATTTGCATTTATTTAATCGCTAAAACGAGGGAAAAAAATCGTATAAAACGGGTTTTTTTTATATATATATTTATATAAAATAGACGTATCTTTTTATATAGAGATAGAGCTATAAACCACGTTGTGACCCGGATAACAGCCTACACAAAAATGCCTTATAGGATGATAACTATTAGGTATATGTCCATGTAAGTCTGTCTGTCAGTCGTCCACACATAAAACTGCAATTTTTCATTCTAAAGAACTTTTATTGATTTCTTTAACGAGTTCACGTTTGAAGAGACGATCGAATGACAGTTTATAGCAGCTTATACTTAGTGTAAAAACCAGTATAAGGAACGTCTGTATGTCTGTACTGTTTATGGAGGTACTGGGCTAACTATCGTAGAGTTATATAAAAAAAAGAGAGAGAGAGAAAAACCTTGAATATTATGCAGATAATGGTCGTATAAGAGATAAGTGAGAGTATGGATTTTCGTGGGTGGAGTGGAGAACAAGATTTTTAATTAATTCGGAAACCGGCTTAAAAATCCTTTAAAACTGTTTGGTATCCCGCCGTGGACGTTATTTATTAAACGTTGCTGATAGTAGATAACATTTAAAGTATCGCTGAATAAATGTTTAATAGGAGAAAGCAGAAGATGTAGTTGTGTTGTCTCGCATCGATTCCAAGAGAGAAACATTTAGTTACTAATGATAGGGAGTAATTACGGTGTAAGAAGGAAATGATGTTATGTTCCATTCTAGCTACGAATCAATGGATGTAGTCTAAGTAAAGTGGCTGAAAATGCAATCAATAAATGGCGACGGGGTAATTCAATCTCCTTTCTTGCACACGGACCATACGCGCGATTTTCCTCCTCTAGCGTTAACGGATCGGGATCTCTAGCTTGACGTTAAACAGTGAGTTACTTGGATCTTGTGCATTACTTCGAGGGCTCTCGTTTTAGCGTTACGCCAACGGAAATTAAGCCCGACGCTTCTATATTACGCTGGCATTAATAGATAACGAAGCTTGTATTGTTAAGGTCTTTACACTTTATTCGTACTCTGTAAACGGATGGAGAACCTCGTTATTACGACCGTATTAACTAAGCGAACTTGCTACCCTTACTGCTTGGGCTAAATTTACGTTACCGTCACTCAGAATAATAGATTTCTATCGTACACGCGACATGCTCATAGGTAAATTATGCTAAATACTCTACTTATATTACATCATGTTAGGTCGTATCTAAAGAATGGGTTAATTTGAAAAGCATTACGTAAACTGTAATCATCAAACGATACCTTATAGACACAGTAAGCTTTTGGCTTTATTTCCAGGCTACTGCATTACCCCTATGTAGCATAAATTCGTCTAAAACTTCGTTATTACGCGCGGATATATTCGCCATTTGTATTCGAAAATCCCAATGGATGCATTTCAAAGGTGCGGATTTAACGTATTAATCACTATTGTCTCGTAAGTGCAATACAGTACGGCTTTGTTTCTAGGTGCACTAACTCCCCGCATATACCGTAAATTGCTTAAAACCTCGTTATTACGATCCACTACTATATTTTCCAGTCGACATAACTGAACAAAGTGTGCATTTAACTGTGATTTTTGCCATCATTTCTAGAAAAGCACCCTACCCCTCTATATAGCACACCTCGTTATTACGACTATGAGATTAGGCCTATACCTCCTACATTTTTCAGCATATTTAACTCGCTACTAGCTACGTAGCAAGGAACCAAGTAAGCGAACCATTGTTTCATATGAGACGAACTACGCCATTGGTTTAATTCTTACCCATAAACGTAATTTTTGGCTTCACTACTAGGAGCGTAAGCTACCCGCATATAGCGTAAAAGTTATTACAACCTCGTTATTACGAATCTTCACAGTTTCGGCACTCGGCAATCTCGGAACCCGGTTCTAACCTTGCGTCATCTCTCCCCCCCGTTTCGTCACCACAGCGCATGCGCGGAGGTCCAAGTAATTATTATTCTCTTTGCCTGTTTATCAGCTTTCGAAAGACATATTACAATACCCGGTGGATTTTTAATCATCCGGTTTCCTCCTGAACTCCCTAAATCTCCCTACAGAAGCCATTAATACGCCAAAGGGTACCTCTTAAAAAATGCAAGAATTAAGCAATTAAGGCACGGATAAAAAGTTTAAAAAAAAAAATATTAATCTGTAGTAAATTTGCCACTTTTATATACTAATTAAAGAGCTTAGAGTGGGCATATAACGCGCGTGCCTTAATTACACACACCCTTAAATAAGAATTAAATGTTTTCGATTGATATTACACCTATGGGGATTATTTAAATTTATAAAAATGGGCTCCGGATCGTCCAGTTTTCTTACGCTTCACCTCATTGGACGTCACTGCTGACGGATGGTGTTCCTTAATAAGTTGGAGTGACCAATCACGTCAGGCGTTTTAATGACATCGCCAGGAGTAATTACTATATTTGATGATATCACGTCGACTTAAATCTCTTAAGAAAACGCCATTAAAAATGTTTTAAGTAAGTCTAAATGGCTATCCGTTAATGAATTGAAAAATTAAAAGGGGGAAAAAAGAGAGAGAGAGAGAGAGAGAAAAAAAAAATTAATTTTCAATTTTTGCGAAACTTTAATGGAGTGTTAATACGTGGGGAGATAATTTAAAGATTAACAAACTCTGACTTAAATATATAAATATATAATATTATAAATATCAGATCTGTAGGTGATTTATCATTAAAAAGTTCGGCGAAGAAATTAAAAATTTTTTTAGTAGTTTTTTACAAGTTATTCGGTTCGGTCGACGGACGAACGAAGCGAAAATAAATTTGACGATAACGTCGTTTAACAATCAGACCTTATTACTAACAGATTTAGATCGTTTTGTGATATTTTGTAATAGGATAGTCCCTGTAGGGTCGAAGGGAGAACGTGAGGTTGTGTGATTTAACAAGCACGTGAGAGTGTTACAGCGAATTCCCACATTCCCCATTTTACTTTTCGGGTCTGTAAGGTTACTTTATGTACATTCTAGAGTAAGTCTTATAGAGAAGACTTTTGGGTCTGTAACGTTACTTTATATACATTCTAGAGTAAGGCTTATAGAGAAGAATTTTGGGTCTGTAAGGTTACTTTATATATATTCTAGAGTAAGGCTTATAGAGAAGAATTTTGGGTCTGTAAGGTTACTTTATATACATTCTAGAGTAAGGCTTATAGAGAAGAATTTTGGGTCTGTANACAGGAGGAGAACAGAAAGAGCAGGAAGGAAATGGGGAAACACAATTAAAATATTAACATATTTTAGAGATTTAAGAGTTTAATAGTGCTTTTAGAGTAGTATAGAACACTGTAAGACACTACTTATCTCCCCGACAATGGGCTACATCACGGAAGATCGGTTCATTTCCCAATAAAGGACATTTCGGAGGATGGCTTCGGACAGAAGCAAAAGGGGACCGGCAAAACAAAACACAGCCCATTATGGGAGATGGACATCGTACAATAACGTAAACAACTTGTTTAAAAATAACCCACAAGAGGGGAGCAGAAGAGGCAGGAGAGAAGGGAACCACAGCGGTAAATTCCGTAAATTAAAGTGTATTTTTGGATTATATTTTTCACTGTATCCCAGCCTCTTTGTCAGTCTTAAACAATTAGCTGGATCAGTGGACAATCGAATAAAAGGCCCCCATACAGAAAAGCCAACCCCGAAAACAAGACAAAGAACATTTTAGGAGATTAACATTACACAGTAACATAAACAAGCCCATTCTAAAACACCCCACGACGCTAGTTTACGAGGGGAGGAGAGCAGAAATAGAGAGAGAGAGAGAGCATCGGCAACCCCTCCAAAT